TTATTTGCCAACATTACATCTAATAAGTTATCTTTTGTGATCTTATTATTAACTTCGTTTTCTAATTTCTTTAAGTTGTCCTTATTTACAAAACAGTCAAAAAATGCATGTGCAGGGGTGTCAATTTGGCCACAAGAACATAGGGGTGAATCAATGATTTTTCTTTTTTCCAAATAATAGCCAAAGGAACCATGACCTGAAATAAATTGTGTAACGTAGAAATCCGGAAATCCGTGGTCTCTGTCCAACCAGGCATCTAAATCCTTAATGACTGTTTTGATCCATTTGTTTCCAGTTTCATCTTTCCATCTTGCTCTCCACTTCTTTCTAATATCTGAATCAACTACTAATCTATCCTCTTTCTTGGCAATTCTGAATTTTGATTCAATCAACAAATCAATTGGGGGTACCCCAGAGATGACATCTTGAGCAAAGTTAGATACCGACTTATATCCACAAATCAGAGTCCTTTTAAGAGGACGAATAGAAGTTTCTAATAGCTTAGTGGTCTTTTTCCATTGAAGGGCTGTGATCCAGATTGTAATTCCATAAAAGATTATAGAGAGCAATGCTTGAAAAATAATTTTGCGTTTGTAAAAAGAAGGGCCGAAAGTGTTGGGAAGAATTTGTCGATAATGACTAGCGGTTTTATTAAGTTTCTGGCAAGTTAATTCTAAATGTTTATAGAAGTTTAAATTTTTTGTAATAAAAAAGCCAAGATATTTCATAATCTCGCTCGATTCGATCAAAGTCTCGTCAATTTTAATTTTGGCTTTAGTGTCTTCTTTTCTACCGTCTAAAATGATAGCTTCTGTTTTGCTTTCTTCCATGAATAGTTCTTTCTTTCTAAGATTCCTTTTTAATTTTTTTGATGTTTTCTCTGTTTCCGAGAGAAGAGCTTTCCTATCTTCTACTTCAAAGGCCAGAAGCGTATCATCTGCGTACACATTTTTATCAGTTCCTTGGTTAAATCTAATTCTAACAATTTCATCAAAGATAATTAAGAATATGAGAGGGCCCAGGATACTACCCTGAGCACCACCTGAATTGAGTTTAATTTTGAAATTTGGAAAGACCAGAAACCTATCAGAGAGATATGATTTTAATATTCTAACGAGATATGATGGTACATTTCTTTTACAAAGAGTAGAGATAAAATCAATCCAGTTTATGCTATTAAAAGCATTTTTTATGTCCAAGGAGACCAAGCATAGTAATCCTCTTTTACCTCTTGATTTACGCATGTGATAATCATAGATTCTTTTAACTGATTCCATAGCCGTCAGGGTAGATTTGCCTTTTCTGAATCCGTGTTGTCTTACATCAAAATTGAAGGATATTATTTATCTATTTATTTTCGAATATTTTTGTCTAAGTCAATTTGAATCAGTGGCCATAGCTACAGATAGTCAATACCAAGAAAATAATGAATTAAATGAAAAAATCGATCTCTTGTGCAAAATTTCATTTTCTTTTGGCAGAAAAACGAAAATTCTTCCTTTTTTCTGATTGAGTGTCGCATAAAAACACGGAAAATCTGTGATGAAAGGCATTCTTACTGTATTAGGATACACTGACATGGTTTTTATAGCTAGCAATGTGCCCATTTTTACCAGGCAAGCAACTGAAGCAGTAACCTAGAGTTTATAAATTTAGGAAGGAAGGAGAAGAGACTAAAAAAAGTGCCCTTAGAATTTTTTTTATTTATATCATCGGGAAGGTTTGACAAAAAATAGGTTATACTTGCACAAACTGGAACATCATTGTTTGCCTTTTTTCCGGGGGAGGCCTGCCACTCCCCAGGCCCTCTTTGGAACATAATTTTTCTCCTTGGAACTATTGTAGAATGGCAAAATTCTTGTTGTTTTGGAACAGCAAAAAGTCAAATCTGAGCGTGGTCAACGGGTAAGTCAGTCAGATCCTTTTTCCAATTCCAAATTTTAGAGGGGGTGGAAGGGACTTTTGGGACACCCTGTATATCCTCTAAAGTTGTGTTTGACAGATTTGTACCTTAGCAATGTAATATTATTGACTTGAATAAAGAAAAACATTAAATTAAAAGACTCCCTTGATGTCTCAGATTCTTATTTTTAGCATTTTATGTCGTAATTTAAAACAAATTAATTGTTGTCTTGGGTGCAATTTTCATCTCTTCAAATGGTTTTTTTTTTTTTTTTTTTTTTTTTTTTTTTTGTACAGTGAGCAAGAAATTCTCAGGGATGATCTAAAATCAATAAGCACAGTCAAAGCGAGGCTAAAGCAGAAAGTAGCTGATCTAGAGGATGAACTCAGGAGGGTGAAAGAAGAATGCGATAAATTAGCCAAATCTAGCAAATCAGATGATGAGGTATGTATTTTTTTTATTTGAATAATGTTTTATGACTTTTATTTGAAGCATAAGGGTCATCAAGAACATCAATCACTGTATCACATTTGTGTCTATTCAGTTACACACTCACACTTCAAAAAATACTCATTGTTTTGTTTCCTCAGGATGAAAGGATACAAAGGTTTCTTCAGGGCAGTCAGTCATCTCTGGACTGAATCATAATTTTTAAAATGGGTAAAAAAATGTATCAAAAATTGAAGTGCATTAGTGTTTTTTGCACAAAATTGTTGAAGCCTGTGTGGATCACATACGCTAACAAGACTGACCAGCAGCAGCTCATCGAAATGAGTCAACAATTTTGATTTCAATTGACTCTATTTTTCCTCTTGGAATCTTCAGTTCCTGTTCCAGATTTGTCTCACATGCCTGTGTATTGTATCAGTCTTCTCTATCAGAAAGTGCAGCTGAAAGTGAAAGTGTATCTTAAAGTATATTTTCAGTTCTCATCTTCAACAAAACAAACTTTTTTATCCGCAGAAAACTGAAGCGATTTTGGTATTTTATTTTATTCTCTTGATCCCTTTGCTCTTACTTTCAGTGATAAGTTAAATTTTTTCACATTTTTTTTTTTGTTTTAGGAGGATGTGCCTATGGCTCAGCGAAAAAGGTTCACCCGCGTAGAGATGGCTAGGGTCCTCATGGAGAGGAATCAGTACAAAGAGAAATTCATGGAGCTTCAGGAAGCTGTGCGGTGGTCAGAACTTCTGCGAGCCTCAAAAAATGATCCAAATAGTATAGATAAAAAAAATAAACATACTTTTTGGAGGTTGTAAGTACCCACTGACAGTTCATTTCTGTAACGTTCTTTACATGCCGCTGCTCAATTGCTTTGTAAAAGCCAGTCAAAATTTCATGTATTTCCAATGTTGATGGGATTTATTGCCCTTCAAAAAATATGGTTGATCCACCATAGTAGTACTTAGCAGGGTTTCTCCGTTTTAGCTTTAGTAGTGATGCTTGTGGAGTAACCTATGAAAATGTGCACATTACTATTAAAGAATTCAAGAGTCACAGATAGATCGAGACAGGAATTGAATGCTTGACCTAATATTCAGTTCATGATGTATCACACCATGGCTTCTGTCCGCAATACAGGACTTTTTTGGGGCATCTGAGAGCTTCCCAAAGACCCATCGGCAAAAACGATGAAACATGTTTACTTAAGTTTTACGTAAACTTTCATTTAAGACCGAAATCATTATAATGTGTTGTCAAGTCATCTCCTTCTCCCCTCATTAGATTTATCCATCATTTATTAATTCTCTTTGTTTCAGCTTCGACCGATTATTTAGTGGTGGTGCTGGTGGGGATGGAAATGGATCAATCAGCCGTTTATCATATCCTAATGTTCAATTCAATGTTCCAACCCACCATGTAAGTCCAGCTATGGAATCATTAAGGAAAAAGCAAATACAAGAGCGGAAACGAGGATTGGATTACATCGATTCTAATGACCTGTAAGTAAACCATTTTTCAATAATTCCATAAAGTCCTACTCTCAAAAGGAAGTAGATGAATTAGCTTCGAAATTTTATCATCATTATCAATATAATTCTAGATCAGGTTTATTTTTAGAAAGTATGACTAATTTTTGTATGATGTGGTTCTTTCTTTTTTAAACCTTGGACGATGTAAGAATTTTTTTCGTCCGCTACATTGTATTTATTTATGTTCAGGTATCTGTTCTGCAAATGGGATTTCAGTTTTACGCTCTTTCCTTTCTAGTCATGCAGTGCGTATAGGCGGAGGCGTCCAAAAAGTGTCATTACTTTCAGGCCCTTACTTTACGTCCCTTTTTTCGAAAATGTAGACTTAATTTTAAAATGTTATTGCAAATGAATGCAAAAGGCAAAATTGATGCGGGAGGAAAAAGAAGGGAAAATACTGGGATGGGTGGAGAGGTAAGGGGAGAAAGGATAGTAAGTAAGGATCAAGGAAGATGCAAGAAATGAAAAAGACAAGGATTATTATGGGCTGAAAGACAGGCCGAAGGGACGCCATCGTAGGAAGGGTGAACGATAGTGGAGGAAAGGCTGGAGTGAGTAGAAAGTGATAATGATGCGAAAATGCATGCAAGTAGTGGTAATACCAATACCAACAGTATATAGTGATGAAGCCTCGAGAATTTGTCAGAGTAACTCAGCTCTTTAAGCAGGATATTCGACCTTTAAAGAAAAGAAGGGGAGAAACTTGCATCCTCTACTTTAATAAGGCTGTAATTTTGGAGGTGAGGTCCCGTGTAGTTAAGTGCTCCCAAGGGTACTCCAGTGCTCCAATGATCTGAGATATTGTAGGAATCATCTCAAAATTAAGGCAAATCAATGTACCCAATTCACGTACAGCTCGGGAGTTTTCATGGAAAAATTGCAGTTAAAATAAAATATGATGACTGTTTTCTCATTTGTAGGTGCAGCGAGAAAGTGGGTGCGAGGAGAGCCTCAGAGCGAAAAGAGCAGTATCGGCAAGTGCGAGCGCATGTCGCGAAAGAGGACGGACGAGTTCACGCATACGGGTGGAGTTTGCCGGTGAAACAATCAGGCCCGTCCCCGACTCCACCAGTCATTCCTCAATCTAGTTCAACTTCCAACTCCCAAGTACCTGTCCCTGTCCCTGTATACTGTCGTCCTTTAATGGAAAAAGAACCCGGAATGAAGGTAGACTAGCTTTTTAAATGACTCCCTGTAATGAGTGTGTCATTTCTTTTGAAATTTGTTTGGGTAGTTTCCAAGTGCATCGTGACTAAAAACATTAGGAAGTAAAACGTAGGCCCCTCAAGTTATATGATACTATGATCATCGCCACTCTAATAAGATAATCTAGACTTCCAAGACTCTAAAATACTGGGAGTATCTTGGAAATTCAGAACTCTTCAAAAGTTTATACGGGTGAACTGATTTTAGTTTAAGTCTAGTTTTAATCTGCAAACCTTTTCCATCAATGTCAATTACTCTATTATGAGCAATTGTATGCAACAATTGTATAAAAGTATCTATAATCATGTATAATTCTTTCCTTTCCATCCTTTTTGGTAGGTAAATTAATTAAATTCATAGTAACTTATCTACTTCTTTCAGATGAGTTGAAGGTTCCTCAGTTTTTTCACAGTCATTCCTCAGTTCTTTCAAGAAGAAATTTTATTGCCAAAGATACTTGTAATTTTAATCCCTCTTTCTTGAGAATAGTGCTGCTGTCTTTATGAAGTCAGATTTGACTGGAAAATAATTTTTTTGGAAAAAAAAATCCGTTAATAGTATGAAAATGTGCTTTTAAATGTTACATGAAGAGAAAAACGCAATTTTTAGTCATTAATTTATTATTACTCTGTCATTCTCCATCTGATCATCATATATTGGAATGACGTCATTCTTTTTTTGTACTGAGATTTTAGACGATTTTTAAATGCTTTACAGAAAACTGTAAAAGCACACAGAAGAGAATCAAGATCATTTTTAAATGAATGTATTGATTTAAATAAGTGGTTCTTCGAGTTTCTGCTTTTAGTGAAATATTGGGCAACATTACATAATTGTATCTAAAGCTGTATAAAATTTACATTTGCAGCTATTATAACAGTTTTTCCTTTTTTTCTCAAACAATTTGCGTGTAATTTGTAATAATTTTGTCTCTTCTATCTATTCTAGATTTGGTGTGCAACAGGTGTAAATCTAACCGGTGGCGTAACAAGGGATGGTGGATCAGTTGTCGGAGCCAGTGTTTTTTACTCCTACAACAATGCTAATGGCTCTGAAAATGATTCTGATCCAGAACCTAGCGATTTAGATCCAGCTCTAGCTGCAATCAATCATGAATTAAAGGTAAAGATTGCCTTGATCATCACATTCATCACCTATTTTCTATCTCTCAGTTGGTAATCAATTGAAGATGGGAATTATGAAGTCCAAAACATGTTTACCGTTTGCAATATTTAATAATACGATAAACAAATAAATATTTTAAAATTTTGATCACACATTACATTTGTTAGTAGTTAGTTTATTAGCCTGTGGTAGCTATGAGCATTCATTCCTTTCTACATCATGACTGACCATTTTTGACCTGTTTTAAGAGGCTGAAAGAGAAGACCCTAACGAATTATAGTATATACTTATATTTTTATTGGTACTAAATTTTTTAATCAATCTTCTGTTATTTTTGCTTGTCAGGAAGGTGAGCGGCGGCAAAATGAAAATGAGACGCGCGATCACATCCTATCGTCTTTAGTCTGGATTTGTACAAGTACACACTCAGTTAGCAAAGTAACTATCATTGATGCAAATAACCCAGCCGATATTCTGGAAGCTTTCAATGTTTGTCCATCTCATCTTTTGTGCATTGCCTCTGTACCAGGTATATTTGTCATCTCGTCAAATCTATTAGTAGAAAGAGGGAAAAAAGATTGTGATCTTACAACCCAATAGTCTTAACTTTTGAGTAGTTTTCTAACTTTTCTCTGCAATTTAAGATACACGCTCCTCCTTTAATCTACCAGATACACTTCTGTCATGTGAAGCAAGAGTAGAAGAAATGAAGAATGTTACAAGTTGAGGTTAACAAACTTTGTGAGTGCCTTCTTTATAAAGAGAGTTGGATGACTGATTTCTACTCAAGCAGCATGAAATTAAACTTTCATCCATTTTCAAACACCGAAAAGTATCCAAATTCCCAAAGTTTCTCTTGACAAACCCCGACTTATGAAATTGCACGAGAAATGAGTCGCATAATAAACTCAAACTTTCAAATTACCTTAATATTTACAAAAAGGGACAAATTTGTTTCGGGAGTCTGACTGCTCCCATCTTCAGCAGGTGACGACTGAGGCGCTTACAGTGCACCCTTCGTCAGATTCTGAAACTAGGATAAGGAGTAGTGGATCGTCCAGCCCTTCAAGACCCTCATTAATCAATCTAGCTCTCTTCTTGAAAATGAAAATTTTCTCTTGCATTGGTAAATCAATTGGACGAATAACTTCTTTTAAAAGCACAGGTTCTTCCTAGTCAGTTTCTTTCTTTGAAGTTATTTGTCCAATTGATTTGCCAATGCAAGAGAAAACTTTCAATTTCAAGAAGAGAGCTTGATTGATGAATGAGGATCTTGAAGGGCTGGATGATCCAATACTCTCTGTCCTAGTTTTGGAATCTGACAAAGGGTGCGCTGCAAGCGCCTATGTCGTCACCTGCTGAAGATGAGAGCAGTCAGGCTCCCAAAACAAATTTGTCTCTTTATGTAAATATCAAGGTAATTTGAAAGTTTGAGTTTATTATGCGACTAATTTCTTGTTCATCTTCATTTTCGAAGTTTTTAATCTCAAGTAAAAGTTTAATTATGAAAGTGCGTTGAAGTTGCAGCTTAAATTTTATGCCAAATTTTTTCCAGGAGAAAGATCTGATTCAAAAGTTAACAGGGCTCCTAAAATTGAAAATCAAAAATTTGCCTGCAGATTTATAAGATTACACCATTCCAAGCGATAAAAATAGAATTTTATTTTCAAAAAGATTCCTTTTAATCCTTGCAAGTTTTCATGTTACTAAAGGTGTATGTTTTTCTTCAGGTGCCAAAGAGATTGATTACTCCATCAATGATGATCCTGAAAATGAAATAGAAACAGAAGAGTATGATCCGACGGTTATGGAGAATGGTGATTCCGATGATAATGTAACCGTTGGAAAAGTTACCTATGTTAGTTGTGAAACTGGTAGTGATACCTTGCAAAACTTCTCATCTAAAATTGCAGAAAGCCAAAATGATACAAATGGTCAGTTTAATTTTTATTTATTTTTCTTGTATGAACAAGGTCTCAAACTGTGATCCTGAAAGTCATGAATTCATCATTTCGTTTTTGTCTTTATGAATTGCTTGATTTACGACCAAGCCACTCTGACAGAGTAATATCGTAAAACTTCCATTGCATATCTAGATGTGGTGGGTTGTTGTTGTGATTAACAAAAATTCCACACAAGTAGACAGCGTATTTAACTCTGTGTATTTTGTATGGAGTCTCTAACATGTTGCCCGTGAGCGTGTGTTTGTGTGTTTTCCTGCAGGGCCAAGAAATCTTGTGAAAAAACAGTGAATTGTGACAGCTGTAAATTACCATCATGAGAGGTACCTTCAGAAAAAATTGTCCAAAGAATGTGCCTCTTTTTAAATTATTTACAAACTCACGTGAAGAATACCAAATAATCAAACATGGCTGCATTAATTAAAATGCTTTATGTATAACTTTTAAATTTTTTGAATCTCAAGTAACTGTAATAAATAACAAACAGTGTTGTTTAATGGAAAGTGTTTGGGTTTAACATCAAAACAGAGTCAAGCTTTGATTGTCTCCTTGTTTGCTGTGATACGTCCGTAAATCGAAAGAAATGTGCAAAATTTTTCACCTTGAAAGTTGCGCTTTAGTGAAATGTCATCTGCCCTTGTTTTGTTTTGGCTTAATTTGACGTTTGCTCCATTAGTGATTTGCAACTCACAGAGAAAAATACCAATGAATTTTGTTTAAAGAATCGGCAAAATTCATCAGGCTGATGAATTTCCTTTCCTACTGAGCATTTTTAAGAGCGTTTTATCGTATGTAGGTAGGTTCATCAAGTTCTGTCAATGTATCATGAACGGTAATTCTATGAAACATTTTGAAATATATACCCGTCATATTTGAATTGAATTTTGGAAATGTATAATTATTGAATCAAAACAACTTTTCGTAGCATTTAAATAACTGTTTTGGCTGATCTTTAAAATTTCATCAGGATCACCGTTAACTTTGACTGACATATGTACAAACAAAATTGCACCATATGACATCATTAGAATTTTAGATGTGTTAAAAAAAACTAGCTACACTTTTATTCGTCTTGTTATAACTGCCGCTCACTCCATTACATTACATTTCTCAGATCTGCCTATAAAATATTTTTCTCTGTGAGCGTTCCTGCTTGTTATTGAATTTTACCATTTTGTATGTTTATCCATTCCCTCAGCTGGTGAAAGCAATGGTGTAGGAGATCCTATTTTTATAGAACAAATTAAGACTGAAATTCCAGAACCGGATCCTGTTTCCGGGAGTCCTGTTCCTCCCCGGAGACTTGTGAAAGAGATCAAAGAAGGTCTTGTTAAAGATGGAATAGCTCAATCGACTGTTGGTGGGTAGTTTAGTTCTTATTTGTTGCTTCTTTCTCCTAACTTATTTATTAGGATAAAAATTAAGGAGTTTACTAACTCTGCACACCAATTTTGACGAATTATTTTTCAGGGACAGATTTAACCAACTACCACCCCACTTCAAAGATGTAGTTAAACTTGGAATTGTTGCAAGAAAGAAGAAAATAATAATTCCAATTAAATTTCATCCACAATTATTTTTTCCCCATACTTCTGAACATTTTATTCTTCTTTTTGACTTCGTTTTTATCGGTTTGAATTTGTGTGGTTACTGTTCGGTTGTTTTTCCAAGGAGAGCAGGATTTCTTTCCTTGTCTTTTTCTTCTAATCATAATTTTACGGACATTACCAAAGACTGCCCGCAGACAGGACACTTATCTTTCCTCGTAAACTCAAGAATTGACTTTTCTATGCAAACAGAGTTTGAGCAGGTGAGAAAGTTTATGTGAGACAATGGACGAGAAGCAGACCAATATTAATAAATTCCAATGATAAAATACTCATAAATTAGAGTAAAAGTACAGTGAAGAAAAGCTTTACCATTGATAATAATGTTCATTAATGTTGTCTCTGCCCTCTTTTTGACCACGATCTTGGGGCTTTTGACTTTAGAATTTGAAAATTTACATTCGAAACAAGCATCTGTGTCTTACTTTCAAAAACTCAAAGTAATATTATGAAGTCCTAAATTGAAATGAGCTGAAGATTCATTGAATAGATGCCAGGATCCACCGTACAAAACGATTGGCCATAGTAAACTCAACTGTTCTCATTTTTAATGTCACATCCAAAAATTGAATGAAAGTTGAATGAATGTTTCCTCTCTCATTTCAGATAATGAAGTTGCAACAGAAGAAATGGAAAAAATGTCAAGTCTTCTACCAACAGTCTGGCTTGGTTCTAAAAATGGCTGTGTTTTTGTTCACTCTGCAGTTGCACAGTGGAGACGTTGTCTGCATTCTGTAAAATTGAAGGATTCTGTCCTAAGCATAGTGTAAGTTGTATGCACAGCTTCTAAAATTTATTATGATAAATTTGAGTGGGGGTCAAAAAGTAGACTGCAGATAGTAAGAAATAGTGCCTAAGGGCCTAGCTTCCCTGATCAGCGGGTCAATTACTGAAAGTTTTAAGTAGCCCGATAAGACATTGAAATGCGATATATTGCATTTTTAAGATGGGGCTATGTCTTGTCTTGTCGTGCTGGCATGGTTTCAATAATCGGGTCGCTAGATCCTCAATCTTTAGAATAGAAGTCAATTTTTTTTGGTTTTTTTTTAGAATCAAACTCTTTCGGTGGACAACATTTCTCTTAATCAAACAGTGCAGTTTTAAGAATTTTCTTTTGCTTTAATCTTTCTTATCCTGTTTTTAGCCATCTGAATGGGCGCGTATTTTGTGCACTTGCTGATGGAACTGTAGCAGTGTTCAAAAGAGGCAGAGATGGTCAGTGGGATCTCAGTCGATATCATTCTGTTGTTCTGGGACCTTCTCAACATTCAGTGAGATGTTTGGTTGCCGTTCATAATAAAATTTGGTGCGGTTGTAAAAATGTTATACATGTACTAGATTCAATATCACTCTCAGTTCAGGTGTGTCCTCTTAATTTTCTCCTCAGTATTTTTTCTTGCTAGTGTTTAAGACTAACTGTGGAAAGTTTCTATGAGGGTATCCTAATACGTAAGTTTTACTATTTTATTCTCCGAAATTACTATGAAGAGAGCCAAAGTGTAAAAATTCTCTTACTGATCATACTTTCAACTTCAAAATGAGCTGTAGTTTAACCTGTTCAACTAAATGATCCTCTGAATAACTATGTTATGCTTAGATCAAGAATTATTTCACAGGCAATGCATGAAAGCATGATGAACAGTGATGCTAACATTTTCTCAACATGACTCTTTCCCAAGGAAATAAATGTTACGGAGTAGGCACTACATGCGAGTAGATTGAGATCAATAATTTGTGTCAATACAACATGCGACTCTACTCGGCATCCTAGCTGTGAAATCGAGAAAAAGAAAAGAATTGCATCGGGCCCTTCCATCGATCACTATTCTACCGCCTAGTGACTAACCATCAAGATCGTTTCTCTCATCAAAGTTTTTATCTCTTGTACCTCCATCTTCTTCCAATTTTTATCAGTCAATTTTCTTTTGCTTCTATTTGCAGCATTCATTTGTTGCGCATCCAAGAAAAGATAGTCAAGTGCGGCAGATGGCATGGGTTGGTGATGGTGTGTGGGTTTCAATCCGATTAGATTCTACTTTACGACTTTATCATGCCCACACAACAAAACATTTACAAGATGTTGACATTGAACCTTATGTTAGTAAAATGCTAGGTGAGTGAAGTCTTTTCTCTGTCCTCATCATCGTTTTTTCTTGAGTTATTTATTCTCAGTCGTGAAGCAGCAAGCCAAAAATTTAAAAACCCTGTAAAAGCAGGATACTTTGTGTTGTTTGCTTTGTGCTGTTTTCAGTCCCTAAAATCAAAGAACTTGATGAAAAATTAAGTTTCAGCAGCTGTAAATAAGCTTATCTTCAGTTTAATCAAGTTATAAATCTCGAATGTTCATAGGCTGGAGCCTCCACTTCAAATCTTGCTAAAGTGCTGTTTTTGCTAGTCAGCTAAAAAACCCATTTGGTTTTGTTTGAAATATCAACTCACCGTCAGTTTTTAAGGAAAACCAAAATTTCCTAAAAAAATTCTCTGCATTTTTTCCTCTGCTGTTTTTAAAGTAATGAAAAAATTTTAAGTTGATACTTATTTCAGATATGTTTTTTCTTCTTCTTTTTTGGCAGGTACTGGCAAATTAGGATTTTCACTTGTAAGAATAACAGCATTGCTAATTTCCTCTCAAAGGCTGTGGATAGGAACAGGCAATGGAGTTATTATATCTGTTCCTCTGTCTGAAAGTAAGTTTTACCATAACTTTTATCGATTTCTGTATGTTCCCCAGCAATTTGAGAAAATATAAATTTAATTGTAACTTTTAGCCATTTTTTCTCCATCGAATCACTTTTGGTTCTTTTTTCCATAATCACCAGCAAAAAAGCTGTATCAATAGTCTGGTTAGCACTTAGAATTTTTGAAGGATTTGAGAGAGAAACAGACAGTGTGACTAGGAAGTGTGCTTGGGAGAATAATGAAAATAAGTTTAGGCGGCAACTAGGTCTGCCCAGAATGAGTTGTAAAAGAAACCTGACGGAAATATATGAACAATATTACAAAACGTTTTCAGTATTTTGCACGTATGATGTCCGCCATTTTAAAGCATTTTTTCCCAATTCTTTTCCCTTGTTCAAGGAGAAATTGATTGCCAAGAACGACAGAAATCACACAGGAGAAAGATTGATAACAGTTTACGAGATTGTTTGTGTGTTTAGGTCAGGTTTCTTAACATATCTCTCTTGGCAAACCCTGTTGCCGGTCAGGAAGAAAGAAGCACCTGCGGACCCAGAAAATTTGACAGAGTGATACACTCTACGCTAATTGCATTTTACCGAGTGGATTTCAGACTTTTTTGATGTGCTCATTGTAGTGGAGACTCTTGCAATTTGGCAACACTGTTTTTTCTCAATTTAAATGTATTTCCTACAATTGGTTCCAGGCAAGGCAGCCTGTCTCAACTAGAATCAATGTATTTAATGGATTTTAATGGAGTTTTAACAGTGTTGCCAGCTTTCAGAAACGCCATTGGCTCATTGTGATATTAGGATTGTTGTACTTTTATGGAGTCTACTCATTTATCTTCATCTTTTTTATGCTACTCCGTTTGAATGATTTAATGAGAAAAAAGAAGGTGAATTATTAAAGTTCAAAGATCATCCCTAATAAACCATCATCATGAAAAGAAAATATTCTGTTAATTTTAGCGGCTCTGGTGCTTGCACTAGAGCTGCTATTCCGGACGGTCCCAGCTGGGGAGTATCAACGGACCATGTTACATTGGAGAGACCGCGTGTTGGTTGATGGGAATCGGCGCCATTTTCTGCTGTTTAGGGGGGACTGATTTTAATTTAATTGATATCTTTTTCCTGTGAGCGAATGCTATGTTGTGTAGTGTATTTTTGGAATCATGGTGATACTGTCAATAATTCAAAACGAGTCTGTGCTTTAATCTCGCACTGGAAAAAATGTACTTTACGTTTAAAATTTGAAAATTCAAATCTATAAGTTTTCTCGCTTTTTTCGAAGAATGCCGTGGTTGGAGCTTCCTAGTCATACTACTCGACATCAGCTGATAGCAAACAAAGGTTACCAAGGAAACCGTAAACGCGTAACAACTACCTACCGTCGCCAGAGCCGCTTTCCGACGCGAATGCGTTGGAGCTTCCTGCTTGTTTTTTTATTCTGTCTATTTGAGTGTATCACTTAACACCTTATAAAAATCTCGCATTATGTTAGGTGCAGGAAATAACAACTATGTGTCGAGCCGGTCGCCAGGAGGAATGGTGCGAGTTTTCTCCGATCCTGCTACATTTCAAGTCACTCCCGCCAGTTATATACCGTATTGCTCCATGTCTCAAGCTCAATTATCATTCCATGGACATAGGGATGCTGTCAAATTCTTTGTTGCTGTTCCCGGTAATTGATACCACATACTTCATCTCCTTGCTTGGTTTTAAATTCAACCTGCACTGAAATTATGCAGTCCAGTAAATTAAAAGTGGAAAGCAAAAAATGAAAAATAAAAGCCTCTGCATCCAGTGGCGAGGCATGAATATTTCCCCATTTTAAGCTATGGTAAAGAATCGATTATTAAGATGTTCGTTGCAAACACCCTTTAATTGATCCTTTTCCGTAGGTTTAAATGGTAGATCAATCGATATATCGCAAACCACGCCAAGCCACTGACTGGATCTTGAGGCAATGATCTTTGCTCTCAAATTTACAAGTTTTCCAAATACTTTTTGTCGCTGTTTATACATTTTTAAGAGATTATAAAAGGCTCTGATTTTGTTGTAAATATTGTTTGTTATTTTGGTGGCATTCATTTTTGAAATTATTATTACTGAACTACTTTTTAACTTATTATTAACTTCTTATTATTTTCTTGTTCCAAATTGAAACGAGACTCAGTAAACACTCATGAAGTGTAGGGGGTGTTCGTAAAATACGCAACAGGAAATTTTGCATTTTTCGACCCCCCCTCCCTTGCAACGCTTTTATGGCGTAGATCCCCATCTTTTAACCGGCAAAAACAAATGGGCGTAATGGCCTCTTCAACATCCATCCCTCCCAGAGCGTTACTTATCATGTGAATGGCCACATAAAGCAATTATGAGTCGTATACAATTCTTAATTATGTGTAATTTATTTTCAATTAACTCTCAGCCGTACTTCCTATCACAAATTTTTGTATGTTTACTTTTTTTTAAAGTACATTAAAATAATTTGCCTTAAAAGTTTTTAAATGTGAAGCTCTCTCATCTTTTCAGGCCAAGCTGGATTTTCTGCCGCCACGAGTTTGAAAGAAGAGGGGCCAATTGTAAAGAATGTCTCGTCTCCTGATGGCCCAGCTTCCATGCTGATTTTGTCTGGTGGTGAAGGATACATCGACTTCCGAATTGGTAATGTTTCAAGCTCTTTCTTTGGCTGTCCTTGTGGTTTGTCATCGATATGCCGTACCATCTCTCCTCATTAGTCATCATTTTTTTTTTAACCCGTGTGCCCAGACTAATATTCAACCCTCATTTTCTAACAGAACAATACCATCTTCGGCTGTTGAATGCACTCTAATCGAGAAAATCAAAGTGAATTGTAAAATACTTTTATCTTTCATTAGTATGTTGGGTGCATGAAAGTATGTAAGCCCTGGATTGTCGATCTCGTGCATTTTTGTTCCAAACCCTGTGTCCTTCATCGTTTTGATTTTACCCAAACCCGTGTTCTGCTTCATTTGTGTTTTCAACATCATTTGTGTTCATAATGTGTTTCCTCTGTGTCAGTTTTCCCTTCAATTTTCACTTCTATCCGTTTATTCTCTTTGATTAGTTCCTATTAGAAAGTGTGTTTTCACATTAAATAACTTTAATTTTACCTTTAATTTTGAGAAGTTCAATAAATATTTTGTTCAAAATTGTTTTGTCAAACTGTAAAACTTGAGATGAAGTTATGTAGCTTACAAGAAAGATTTCAAAGGAACAAAGTTTTGATCCTGCAACCAAGTTCAATAATGAAAATCCTTGTCATCACCATGTTGCTGACATCTTTTCCTGTTCATCGTCTCTAAATGTTTGACACTCATCCTAGTTTTCTTTCGAAAGTATAACTGTAGCAAAGTTTGGCTACCCATTTTCAAGCTTGTTAGTGAGAGACCCCCACGATGATGAAATCATTGAATAATCTTTTTGTTGGAATTATCTGTCTGTAAAGGCACAAATTTACGTACTGCACTTTTTCACTACCCGCCACAATTCATTTTACAATGTTCAGATCCAATGCATAAAGTATAATTTTTGTATGAAATTTCTCAGTTTTCTCAATCTTCTTATGTTTTGGTCTTTTTTATTTTTTATTATGATTTCCTCTTCTGAGTTTCTTTTGTGTTCACAAATGATTTATGTTTGTGGGGGCTATAGTTGATGATGAAGAAGAAGCCAGAGACGCAGCTAGTCACCTTATCGTTTGGAGAGTCTAACGGTAATTGATTTGCTTTTAAGAGTTTTTATTTTTTTTTCCATTTTATTTGGGGTAGGTACCATTTCTTGCCACACTAATACAGCCAGTTTCAATTTTTTGGTTTTTATTAAGTTATCCAATCAAAGGAAGGTAATATAGCTTTATAAGGTCTTTCCAAATAATCTATCATAAAATGCCATAAATCTGAAATAAAACTAGTTTTCATTTGAAAGTATTTGAAAAGCTCTGTAAGAATCCGTCAGATTTGAGGTGAAAATACCACATTTTTATAGTAAAATCCTTGTCAATTTTTACTTTTAATTTTTAAATCATGATGAATTCAACTTGTCGTCAATTAATATTTGCGCAGGCCCATCTGTGATCAGAATTTAATCAGTGTTTTTTATGATCAATTGATTGCTTGCCTCTAGCAATTCTATATTGCAAAGTGCTATAAGGGGCATGTAATTCTGTCTCTGCACACTTGTGAAAATTAACTGGTGTTTAAAAGTTAGGGGAATACTATTTCTTACACAGATTAGTTGGAGGTGCATTCCTCTATGATGTTTTTCTTTTCCTTATTATTCTGCTGTATAGCTTCTTTTATGTTTCTCTTTGTTTTCCTACTTGTTTGCAGTAAATTTATATTCTCTTTTTAAGGATTGTGTAGTAAAGAGCTCTTTAAATCTGTGCCCCTTGGCCTATTGCTTTACTTTGGCATCATTGTTGAAACCTGTACCACTTTTCTTGAGCCTCATCATGACCAGTTTCATAGGAATTTGCCCATCTTCAGCGATGCTTTAGTAAATGTTCCTTTCTTTAAGACTAATTTAAGATGAATTCTTCAAAATTCACTTTATTTTTGCTGACTTCCCCTGATTCCTTGCACTCTCTCCTAGTAAATTATTTTACTCGTCCTTTAATGGCTCCTCAATTTACTATCTCAAATCTTAGGTTGATCCTGTGCATATTCTCCTAACCATCTCATCTCGCCACTTGGCTCGAGCAAAAAGGAAATCCCTTTCCTAGAAGCCGTTGTGTTTATTATTGTTTTAACTATGTGTCTTAATAACCCTGTATGGCATTTCTATATTCAGTATTTCATGTGTCTGTGGGCATCTATTACGCATGTTCAACATCTTGTTTGAGGTTTAGTCATGAAAAGTTTGCATCGTTGACTTCCTATTGCTTTGGCTGCCTGTCATGTAAAGTGTATACTCTCTTCTAGAACTCTTTATCTAGTTTATTCTTTAAAAACAGCAGTTGTACAACTATGATTAAGATAAAATATCGGAGCAACTGTTTTTAAACTTCTAAAACCTGTTGCAACTCAAATTTTAGTATTACTCTTTAAAGTTTTTTTTTCCAGATTGCAGTGAATTCTTTACTTGTTACTCAAACTAAAACCCTAAAAAGCAACAATAGAACTACTAACTTTGCAAACAGTTTAGTGTGCTGTCATTAAAGTCAGCCCATTAATCTTATCTATTTCCGGCTAAATTTATTATTTTACATCAGAATAAAGAGCGGAATTATTCTTCAGCTCTAAACTTTTACTCTTCATCTGTATTTCTGAATCCAAATAGTGTTGAACTAATTAATTTTTTTAACTACCATAGCATTTTTGATTTTTTGGGAGATTAACCCTTTTGTCAACACATTAGTCTGGCATCATGAGACCTCAAGTCCATCCATCTTTTTTGAAGCTCACTACCTCTAAGAGGTAAATGAAATATATAAGTAAAGTAGACAGGAGGGAGGAAAGAAAAGGAAAAAGAAAAACATGCAAAATAAATATATTATATATATATACACAATAAATCCTTGCGCACAAGTTTACCCAGTCCGTACCCTATTCAAACTTATGTTGTACCATGCTGCTGTGAGAGGTAACACTTGTAATTTTCTCGTACCAACACCATTTTCTCATTAATGAGCATTGCACCATCTCACTCTCTTATATAAGTTGACAAAGCATCCTAAAATGAAAGGGAGCTCTGTATAATATCCAGTCCCTTTTATTTTCATTTTCTCTCTAATTCACTTCTTACTCTGTCTCTCCTCAATCTAACAATTTCCCTTCCCACCCTCATCCCTCAACTTTCAAGAATTGCTTTGCATTTTGTGCATTTCATATCGATTGTTATTATAGTTTTTTCCTAATAACATTCATAAGCATTTTCTCCATTGTTAATTAAATTTTGGTAGTCATTCATTCACCTACCATTCCAGGATCTACAAACGACACTTTTAAGATTTGGAACCGAAACTGTCCACAGTTTCAATTGGACCACATTTTGCAATAAAGAACCTCTAATTATCCGTAAACCCACCTTCACAGGGAAAATAATTGCACATAATGTGCTGTCTCTTAAGAGGCAAATATTTTTCAGTTTGGAACTTCTCTGGAGGTTTTTTCCAGTGAACCATCATCGCCGTTACCAGTAAATCCGACCTAATAATTTTCTATGGATTAAACCTATTTTAGGACCACCTTGCAAGGTGGTACCAAAATGATGCATCAATATTGCGATTTGTAAGTCTCCAATTTGGAAGTTCTGAGCTCAAATTAAACCGAAGCAGCCAAGGCGCAGAAGTAGTCCAGTACCTCAAAATAATATTTGCCTAAATAAGCCAGAGCTAATAGTTCCTCATTACAAAAGGTAGTCCAATCATTCGCAAAAAAGTAAGGCAAGTTGCGCTTCGACAAACGATGGACAGATTGAGTGCACCCTTAATTTCTTACAGTTTCAACTAATTCTGTGAAAGAAATTAAAAGCAAAGGAATTTCCACAATAATTACATTAATAATTATTGAATTGCTTATTTTTATTGTCTTAGACATAATGATAATGAAGCATGAAACCCACTTACTAAAGTTGATCCGTAATTATGTAGCCTGCAGTTCTTTTACCCATCAATTTTTTAGCCTAATAATAATATTGCATGAGAGAGAGGAGTTCAGATTTGTTCTTTTTCTATAATTAAAACTAATACAAGGCCTAAAACTATGAATATCTCAGTTGCCGCACAGTCTTAGTTGCGAGCTACTCGCTCAGATTTTTGGAGAATTAGAAGAAAACATACTAAAATTATTTCTGGTTTTTATGGGCATAATTGAAATTATGACTTCCCGCCATGCAAAACTTGCAACATGCAAACGCCAAAAGCCAAAGTTGCTCGGCAGCAGGTGACAACAAGTCGGAGCAACTAACAGTTACGTAGATGCAGGGTGAGCTAGTCGATGCCGAAACACGTCTAATGACTGTTTGAGGGTTGTTGCCCAGCAGAAGGGTGTACCTACTAATAAGGAAGTTTTGAAAAACAACATAAATCGTCCATCATCGTCACTAATCACAAATACATTTTTTCTCAACCTCTTCTTTAGGTAGAACCCTCCTACTTTGTGTTTTACAAATACCTTTTTCATTTTTTATAACAAGTCCATTCGATGACATGGCCGAAATGGAAAATATAAGTTAAGCCAACCAACATGAAACTGATAATCTTTTTAATTCTGTTACAAAAATTGAAAGAAAACGGATTTGGCACTCAATTTTCTGCTCCTCCCTTTCTCTCTTCAAAATCTGTTTGAAAGTTATTACAATTTTTATTTTTGAATTTTTCAGGCAATACAGATGATCCTGAGGATGAAAAACTAGATGAAATAACTGGAATACCAACTTTAGGAAAACGGGAGCGGAGCTACTTAATTGTGTGGCAGATGTGTGCCAGAACTTAACTGTGCCATTTTTCAATCATATGATACATAGTCATCAACTTTAACATGTTTGCGATTTCACATCACAGGTCCAGCTCTGATTTGTTGATTTTCTTCTGGCATTGTTGCTTCCAAAAATTTACTTATTTTGTTTGTTGTTTGTTTGTACCAACATAAGGGCTAAAAATGTTAATTACTGAACATCAAATTCAGCAGAATTGTTGGTTTTGATCTAGAAAAGTTTTAAAGCAAGTTAATCGTTCAACCCTTTTTTTCACGTTAAAGTGAAGACCACCTTAATGTTCCATTCACCTAATTCCATTGGAAACAGCACAATGTCTTGGTTAGCATAAACATTTAAGATACAGCTGAATTCCCATTAAATTTGGCCTAGATGTTAATCTAAATTTAAGATAGGGCAGTGAATAAGTTCTTAGCTTCTTTAAACTTTTCAACTATGTAATTGTAATCCGTGTTGAACGTGCAAAAATTTAAATTAAGGGTTTCACCTCAGGAATGAGATACAAAGAAGCAACAGACCTGCTGAAAACATTTTCTTTTGTCCTCTTTTTTTCCTTCTACTTCCCAGGCTGTGCTTAATTGTTTTCAAGGTTTCTAAAAGACCATCCAAAGTTCAGTTTTCACAATCTCTTCACATGTCGCCTGACAATATTCATGGTGTGTACACAAATCAATAATACGTTTGAAACGTTTTTCGAATGGTTAGGGCCTTGTCCACACGAGCGCGGTTCGCGGAACTTATTCCGAGGAACTTGTTCCCAGAACAAGTTTTAGCTGAGCTAAAAACTTATTCCTCCAAAACCCGGAACTTCCCCCGTACTCCAAGCTTCTTTATATGTTTCTTTTGATGTGAATTTGTTTGTTTTTGTTTTTTACGACTTTTACATGTCTTGACATTTATTTTTGTTACTTTGGCGGCCGTAATAATCTATTATTTTGCGATAATCATAAAGTTTTATTGAAGTTCCGGTTCTAGTTCAGGCAAACTCGTGTGGACAGCATGCCTCGTTTCAAGGAATAAGTTCCGGGAACTGAGCAATTCAAGGAATAAATTCCGCGAACTGCGCTCGTGTGGACAGGGCCTTAAGTTTGAAAGTTCGGCTTTAAAGATACGGAAAGAAAATTTTTCAGTTTTTACTGTTAAGGTGATAATTATTTTTAAACTCGGCTGTCAATTGATATTGTGCACTGTTTCACATGTCCCTTGATTTTGGCCACCCAGGAAGTCATGCTTTGCTATTATCTATTGCTTTTAAGTTTCTGCCTTGAATTCTAGTAGGAAATTATTTCGATGCTATCAAACAAAATAGTCTCCATTGATGAGATTTTTTCAAATTACAAGTATCCATTGAAGCAACACACCCTGGAGATAAAAGCTCTTCAAATCTCTTGTATGGATTGATAACTTTTACTCAATAACGCCCTGTTGAGTTGCATTGCTTTTTGATCTGCTTTATAAATAAAATGACTGAAATGAGGAGAACTGTTAGAACCCTTTGAAAGGCAGTCAAACTCCTATTAAAATTTCAAAATCCTAATACTTTTCACACTAAATAGTTTGAATCGGCCAATTTTTTTGCAATAATTACCCTGTAGGGGCACTGAAAGTTTCAAATTGGAGATTACAAAAAGAAGTTCTATGTATTTGGATGTTAGTGCCAAAATCTGAGCCCATGGTGGAGTAATTTTAAGGTTGTCTCAAAACTTACAGACCCTTCTCTTAACAAGTACTTTAGTACGTCACTTTGGTGGGCCTGGAGGTGGAAATTATTCCTCAACTTTTCCAATCCGAGCAGACTAGATGTCAGTGTCAAAACTTGTTCAAAAACATTCCAAGAATGTAGGAGTAATTAATAACGATGTGTTTGCATTTGCTTTCAGTGTCTTATACTTTTGAGTTTTTTGTGTGTAATCATTGAAATGTTTGAGAAATAAATTAATCGAAATTCTAAGATTGAAGAGAATCCAAAGTGGCCCGTGAGTATGACTCAGTTTGAGCCCTCAATGGTTTGTACAGTTCTGTCATTAGTTTTTCTCATTCAAACTTGTCGGTTGTTAGTTTCTTTTCTTGTAATGACCAAAGAAATGAAACGCTGAAGGTGTAGTTTCCAATTTTGGGAATAACTTGGAGAGAAAATGTGGTACTAATTTTTTTTTGTAGTTTTTCTCTTTCTTCACTAGCTCATGTTCAAAACGTTTTGTACAGTATAAACCATTTGCATTATTCCTTCATAGCTCAAGATATTTTTTATGCTTTTCGTTAGTGTACAGGGCTGTATAGGTATTTCTTGTCATGTGCCTCAGTTTTAGTTCTTTATGATTTTATCTTACAAATTTCGCTTTTTTAGGGGCTTTTATCTCAAAACATTCTTTATTTATTAATTTTAATTTCCTGGATTTTTTCCCTCTGAATCTCTAAAACCATATTAACTAGTAATATCAGTATAAACATGTGATTTTATCAGAATCGGAATAAAAATCAAAGTCAGTCAGCGATCACTTACACTTGCAGCCGTTTGTTTCATGAGAAAGACTTGTTTCAAATCAATCAGTCCAATACCAGAGAAACATCATTAATTAACGAGATGTCAAATTTAGAAGTTTTAGAAACGGCACCTTTTGCTTGTGAGTCAAATTGTAATGCAATAAAAAGACGCTTGCTTTCTCAAGACGCGCTCAAATTCCAGAAAAAAATAACAGCAGAAATGGGTGATGAAGCACATTGGACTTTGAATGAAATTGTTAAGCTAGCTTCAAATCAATACGAGTAAGTGGCGCTGGCTCTTTTTATCTTTAACAATTAACTAATCCAATCCTTACTTTTTCATGCTGAAGAGTACTGGATTTTATGTTTTAACCTAGGACTGTTTTTCAATTTTTTTGATTACTTACTGATCATTAATTTGTCAATTTTTGTTGGGCTTTCTGGATTATCAAGACATGGATATATTGACTACTAAGATAGTGTGAATAATTTCAGTTTGGAACTCGCCTGGAACATTAGGTTTTTTCTAACCTACTGATTTCTCCATTGTTTGCGAATTTGCAAGGCAAGGAATTTGCAAGGAATTTGCAAGTTTTCATCAGGCAGGTAGAAAAAATTACAAGGAGCTTCATAAAAGTGGGGTGTAGAAACAAATGAAAATTCAAAACGGAAACAATTTTAATAAAATTCAGTGCCAGAGAATTCAGTCGGTTTATATGAAAGTAATAATCAAAAGATCTGAAGATTACAAGTTTGAAACGCAGTCTTATTAGTTCGGGAAGACTCCTATCCAAGTATTATGTCTTTGCTTGGTTAATTTGCGCCTAAATTAATTAGAGATAAGCAATGCACTTTTTTAAGATGAGAAGTTAGAATCAACATTTCTTTTAATTCATGTATCATTTGTAAAAAATTAAATGTGCCAAATTATCTAGTAAATAATGACAATCTCAGTCTATTTTTTCAATTTCTTTCCTCGAATTGCTACTTCTCGTTCCAACTGAAAAAATAGTATAAAAAACAAAGGAAGAAAAGTATCCAAAGACTTTTACCCTTCAAGAATGTGTACTCCTGCATGCATCATGCATGCTGTCCAACTTTAGAATCAATGTTTCCACCTCATGTTTTTGGAATAATTGCTTTACAATCCACGCCCCAAAAACTTTAGAATTTGTACTCTTAGAAATTTCTAAAATGTATCAGTATTCTTATTTTGTATCTCTCTTAAACCATTTTACTGATGCAATACAAGAATTTTTTCTATCAATTTCATTCTTTATACATCACGATATCAGTATACTTCGAAGGTACTTAATGGTTCTCTGATTTTGCCTTTATTTTAAGAATGTCTCATTTTTATTATTTTATAATAATCACTTTATGTATATCTAAGTAGCTCAAAGACTCATCGTTCCCTCTGCTTTTTGTTGCTTCGAAACAAAGACCTGAAATTAATGTACCCTATCATTACATATATATAGGTAAGAGATGCCGAACTTGGAGAAAGAAACATTTTCTTGGAATTGTTTTTTCTACCTGTTGTTACTTGCAAGTTGATTTTATTTTATATTAATTTTATACGAATTTGAACCAAAGCTTTTTTCAATCGTCTCATTTTTCTTTCATTTTTATAAGTGTCTGCTCGTCACTGGTTTTTACTTTCATCTCTCCTCAGTCCTCATTACTATTTTTGTTTTGTTTTAACTAATACTTCTTCTTTTCCTTTAAAAATCATTATAGTTTATTTTTCATTCATCACTACAGATTGAGTCATGTTTGATTCTCTTCTGTAGGTGAAGTTATTTTTGAAAAGAATAATTTGCAATCTTTTCAGAGAGGCTAGGTATTTTGTTTTTGTTGTCTGTTGTTCTTTGTTATTTATTTCTCAGTTTTGTCCTGTACATTATTCTAAGCCAAATGAAGAAACTTTTAACCGTTTCTCTCATTGTTTCTAAGTTATTATATCATGTCATTTATGTCCTTAAAGTATTTTAATGAATAAATTATTAGTTTTTGAGCATATTTTAAAGTATGTTTGAATGGCATTGGGTAAAGTCTCATAAAATTTACTGAACACTGATAGAGAAAACTATTTGTGCGGAAGTGTCCTTGTGATTAGTGGAGCCTCTATATCAGTTACTACTTGATCACTTTCTTTTGATCATAAACAATACTCTTATCATTCAAAAAATGTTTCATATCTTATCCTGGTTGTTAGTCTGCCGGCTTTTGTTCAGTACCTAATATTGATGAAACATTGATTCGTGAATATGTTTTTATCAAATTGTCTTTTGTATCTTTGGTTAATTATTAATGTGATAGATTTTATATTGAATTCACAAAATTTGTCTAAATGAGATTGAAGAAATAATAGTAACTGTTATGT